AAGAAAGACCAATTAGAGAACCCCTAAAGTTAGGGAAAGAAGACACAGGAAAATCATCGACACCGGGATCATCACCGGGAGCCAAGAAAAGTGAAGACCCATTAGGGATCAATCCTCAGGGGTCGAAAATGTCCCTGACCTCACCCTCAGAAAATGACCTGATAAGTACAACCACAAGACGACGCAGAAGCGGAGCAGACTCACGAGAAAGACAGCCAAAGAGAGAGACAGTAACAAAAATACAACCCTTAAACATAGAGAGTGAGGAGGATAACGACGAGAGCTCTCAGGGAGAACCAGACGTAGACCCGAGTCAGGAAGACACCGATGACGAAGGTAGTGCCAGTCTAGGATCAATAGCAGGCCAATACGACGGTCCAGTTAAGCCATTAAGAATAGGACAAAGAAAAGGACAAAAGAAGGGAGTAGAAATACTGGACGTACATAGAGTATCAGAAAGGTTAGCCAGGGACTTGAGTTGGGGCCCGGTGCAGGCGAGTGATGGGCGTCGAACTTACATCCCTGAAGCTGGCCAAAATCACTATGACATTCCACCAGTATGGGCAGACAGGTCAGAAGAGACAGTGGAACTGACTGTTAAAGCTACTTTGGGAGAGTGGGCCAACATTTTAATGATGCCCTCATACCCCACATTGGCAGCCCACAAACCCCTAACTAGTAACTTTAGGACCGCTTATTTAGGGATAGTACATGATGTGATGCTGAGAAGAATGAAAAAGACGGCCTACAAGTATGCCCAAGAAACAGAGAAGAAATTGCGAGATGAAATATCGGCCGATGAGGAAGATGATACATACCCAGCCGAGACAAGCCCACCGTATCAAATGCCTGAATCAACCCATGAGCCCAGGCAGGCTAGACAAAACCAGGCCCCAGGCCCAGAGACTGACAGTTATCGTGAGTACAAAAAGCTGAAAACCTTAGTGAGAGAAAAACAACCCCAGGAGACCACCGAAGAATACATCAAAGATGTGTGGCCCATGGTAGTTAGCTCCACTGAGTGTGATGCAGCAAAAAAGTTGTGGCTAGGTAATGTTACCACAAACCCAATGAGTAAAGGGGAATCAGCTCAAAGCCAGTATGAGAAACTAGTCCTAGAAGACATGGACGACAAACACTCTCACATTCAGCGGGCAAGAATGTGCATGGATCAAGGCCAACGCCTCACCCCAGTTTGGTATCAACTTAAACAAGTAATTCCCCCTAAAAGGTATGTTAAAGCCTTAAGGATCGTATCCAAGGGAAGAAGGGGAGAGCTCACCTTTGCCAGAATGCCTCATGAAACTAATGACGCCCAGATAGACCAGGCAGTAAAATCATATGACCTAGAACAGCTGTTCTGGGAAGAAAAAAAGAAAAGTGAGAGCAGGCCAAGCCAAAAACCACCAAAACCGACACAAAAGGCCCCTCAACAGCCACAATACAGAGAACAGTTCCCGAGACAGCAAGGGACACAGTACAGGGAAAGACCACCGAGGCAGTCAGAACCTCAATATAGGGACCAACAACCAAAACGATTTTCAGCTCCAGCTTCAAACTCCACACCACAGAAAGGAGGTAAATACCTACCCCCAGAAGAATATGCAAAACTGACCCCAGAAGAAAAAAGAGCCCTCCATGAATCCCGTGAGAAAGGGAGTGGAGGGCCAGCTAAATAATGACAGATAGGTTGCGGGTCACTCTGGAAGATGCCTATTGGGAGGGGGACGAAATCTACACTAAAGTAGAGGGAGAACCTTACCTAATAGATTCCGGAGCCGAGGTGTCTATGACCCGCAAAAACCTAAAAACAGTAGGACACCTGACAGTTCAGTTAGCAAACGGAAAAATTGAAACAATGCCTTACGGGTTATGGCAAGGAATTGTGTGGATAAAAGGGCCTTATAACCTTATGACAATAACAGATCTGAAAGAACTAAAGAAACCAAAAAAGAATCGGAGAGCCTTAAATAGAAGGTTAGAGAAGTTAAAATCTAGGCTAGTAAAAATAGGGTTCACACACAAACAAAGTGAGTCCGAAGACTGGTATAAACCTGTAAATATCCCTGAAGTGACAAAACAAAAAATAGATGAGAGTGACTTCTCCCCGGCTGGGAAAGAGAAGTAAAAACAAATATTAGAGAAAGCCTCAATAGCCAGATTTAAAAATGATTGTGGAGACCTAGGCCCAAAGTTTGTACATATAATCGAAGGAGGAGTTCACCCACCCGTAAGACAATATCCTCTAAATCCCGGAGCAGTTGAAGAAATGAACAAAATTGTGAAAGAATTAGGAGCGTTAGGAATTATTAGGGAAGAAACAAACCCCATAACTAACAGCCCGATCCAAGCAGTTAAGAAACCC